AGTCCACAAACATCTCATTAATAGAGAATCTTGATTGTGTATAAGTACTTAAAGTACTGTAATGTCAACTCTTTTCATGGGATATGGCTGGATCCAAGTCCTGTTAGACCTTTGAATAATGAGATAATGGAACATAAGTGAAAGAAATCCCTGTTATCACTATATTGTAGAATTTGGAATAATATGTTAAAATTTTTACTGTAAAACACAGGCTGCTAATATGACCCTTTTGAAAGCTGAGCATGGACTGTAATACTTAATTATTTAATAGGATGGCATTATTGCAATGAAGAGAACACCACTCTGTGGCTGCTCCACTAGATGTCATCATAACTGTGAGAATGTCAAGCTCGTGACTACAGAATGTGGGTGATTCAGATCATGCCTGTGTGTGCATTCTTAGTGGAGGAATTGGCACTACCAATGTTGAGTCATGTTTGTGATCATTAATCAAAGGATTCTGAGCTGTGGAAGCTCTTGGATGTGACTGAGAAATAGTCAGACATTGGTCCCTAAAAAAAAGCAGTAAAGTAATATCGGAGTGTGGAGGGAAGTATCAGTGTAGTCAGGGGACTGTTAAAGAGTAAATGGAGGGTGACTGGGGTGGGGACACCCCAACTAGACATCCTTCTGAATAATGCCATGATTGGTTTAAGTAGTTTTTAATGCCTGGGTTGATATAGCAGGAGTTCACTGCTCTTGCCTGAAAATACTTGCCTTTAGGCCCGATAGATCCATACAGGGCTTATGATTCAGCCTTTGTAATATTTGCTGCTTGACTGCACTTTGTAGGGTGATTATATGTTCTGCATTTCTTAAATTATTTTCTAGGCCAAAGACAGAATCCAGTACTACCAAACGGGTGAGACCTTTATCTTCCCCTATGATACGGGAAGTAAATGGAAGAACTTCAGGCAAGTGTTTACATGGTCTGGGATTCCTGAGGGAGATGGCCTGGACTGGCCAGTTAGAGATGGATGTCACCAATACAGTTTGACGGTAACTGGTCTTCAATGGTATCTCAAGCTGATTCTCCCCACTATCCAACTGTGTGCTTTCCTTTGTAATAATAGACCAGCTTTTTTAATAACTAAAATAGATGGGCTTGAAATACATGTACATGAGTTCTGTTAAATGTTGTCCCATTTTTGATGCACTAGAAAGTTACGCTTTTGTGAGTGTTTCAAACTGCTAATGGTATTTCCTGTGTTTGTTGAATGATTTCAATACCTGTCATTTTGTGTTGAATGCTGACTAAATTTCTATTTTTAATCATTTATAGATAGAGCAACTCAAACAGAAAGCAGACAAGCGAGTAAGAAGTGTAAGTATTTGTGAAGTTTGGTCTAAAATTATTTTGAAATAGCAGTATAAATAAATGTAATTAATCAATACAAACAATGTATAGCATTCTCTGCTAAATTAATGTTGGCATTTAGCCTTTGCATTTGCTTCTTAGTTTCCAGATGGGAAGAAACGTGATAATAAAAGAGGATTGTGCTTTATGGTTAAGCATTAATTTAGAATTCTGAGTCCCTTTGACAGCCACTGTCATTACTTTAAATCTCGTGGTATGCTTGAATTGATTTTTTAGTATGAAATTTATCAGTAAGGCCATAACTCCTTCAAATAAATTGCTGTGTTCTGTTCCAATCCGCAGGTGCGGTATCGAGCCATAGAAGATTACAGTGGTGTCTGCTGCCCTGTGACTAAAGGTGTTAAAACATTCTTCACGACACCGTGCACTGAAGAACCTAGAATTGCACTGAGTAAAGGGGATCTGATTTTAGCCACCAGAGGCTTAAAGTTAGTGGCTCCACACCTTTATATTTGGTTAAAAGAAATACTGAGTTGTGTTCTGGCATCTAATTACCTGTTATGCTTCCTTCCCCAGACACTGGATGTATGGTGAGAAGATTCTCATCTCAGATGGTGATGGTATGGAGCAGTTAATTTCATTTTTTTCTGTTGAAAGTTGCAAATCAGTTTTATACCTATCTAGAAATGTGGCCAATATTATATGTTCACTTCTCAAAAGGTAGAATGATAGCATTATTGGCACTAGCTTCTCTCGACTCTCCAGTTATTATTCTTTACATCTAATAGGCTTCCCAGTTTTGGTAAACATTAAACAACTGTCAGACTGACAGAACACTCATTTGGTAGTTTATTGAAAGTTGAGTGGGAAGGGGGGCACTTCATATTCTAAGAAAAAGTTAGACTTTTAGTCTATAAAGAGGTTAAGGATGATTCATTTTTTTGATATTTAAATGGTGGTCTGTCTTAAATTCATCCATGCTTCCTACCTATACAGCCCATATAAGTATAGGGATTAATCTTTGTGTATCTTGAAAACTTGGAGACATTATGTCTTTGGTTTGGAATAATTTCTAGAGACTTTAATATGCATTTATAAAACTAGCTGTGGGTGTTGAGTATAGTAAAGACTCCTGATGATCTGCAGAGAGTATCACAACCATCTGTGTTGAAGCTTTTACATTTTTCACTTCAGACCTCTTGCTGTGGACTGAACTAAAATTTTACCTGCCAGAGGGTGTGTTGGATTCTGTTGTTTGTTCCAAACAATTGTTAATTCATTGGATGTGGATTTCATATTTGCACAAGTGAGGCTGCTAGCAGTCACTACACTGAAAAAGTCCTTGCTTTTCATTGGAGGTCTGAAACCTTTATGGGCTGGAAGTGCCCTGGCAGCTGACTCCAATAAAACATCAGATACAGAAGAACATAGCAATAGTTTGTATTGCATTGCTTATTGTGAAGTTTAGCAGGATATATCTACTCTATTGAATGTTGGGTTTTCTGAATCAGCTAAAATGTGGTGTGGATGGTGAACTTAGTGAACACTGAGAGGCTGGATCAGAATAGACTTCAAAAATAGAATGAGTTCTGTTAGGAATGTATGGAAAAATGCTATAAATAAGCAGGAATAAAAAGTTGCACTACAGCAAGATGGCAAAATGAATGATTAAGTAGCAGTTCTTCTGTGGAAAAAAACTCAATGATAATCTTAAGATGAGTCAACACTTTTGGAAAAGAACAGGCATACAGCTTCCCAGATGCTGAAGTAAACCTTCCATCCTCCTCAGCATTGGCAGAGACTCTGCTGAAATAGTGCTACAAGTAAAAGCAGTTACTGCATCTCAAGAAAGATCTACTGTAAAGGGTTGAGAGGAAAACAAAGAAAAATGAGAATAATTGAATAATAGCAAATGTGACTTATAAGGAAAAGCCAAAAGAATTGGGATAGTTTACCTGGGAGGAGAGGAGTAGGAAATTGGAGTTAGCCTGGGTATGTGTAAATAGTCATCAGCTGTGTGAAACTCTCTGTAAACAAGTTTGTTACCTGCTTCCTGTGCCCCTGGTTGTAGAAAAAGGAGCTGTAAACCTGATTTATAGATAGAAAGATTCAGATAGGGTATAAAGATGAATTTTCTCAAGGAAGGTAGAGCACTGCAAAACTTTGGAGATGTCTGAAAACATTTTAGGTAGTTGGAGAAAATCTGTGCATCCCTAGGCAATGATGTTAGAAATGACTTAGATGTTCTGTCTTGTAGAAGAAAATAACTTGGGTAAGTGCTTGATGTCTCTTCCAGTCCTGTGTTTTTCCTCAGTAGTGGGCCATGTTTTGTTCTAAGTTAATGCAACTTTTCATGTCTTAAGGTGGAATAAGAGAACGAGGCTGGTTCCCTAGGAAGTGTGTGGAAAAATACCAGTATGACTCTGAAACGGATCAACCAGTGGATGGAGAGAAGAAAAGCAAATAGCCTTCTAATTTTTTTTAAATATTAAATTGAATTTTTACTTCAGATCACAATCCTTTACTTGAAATTTTCTGTATATTACTTTATTTAGACTTATGCAATGAATATGTTAGGATGAGGTTTTCTTTTCCTCACAGCTGAAAGGGTTGTATATGCCTGTGCCATGGTTTGCATACTTTTTAAACAATAAATAATTGAAGAAGACATTCTGTGGATTGCCTTCTAGATGCATCTTTTTCATCACAAGTCAGAATTGTTTTTTTCTGTTTAAATTGCATTCTGAGCATTAAGATTTTAGGGTTTTTTTCCTCAGCCGCATCTGATTGTTATGCGTGCTGCTTATCTTTTGTATTTCTCTGGAGCTGCCCCTGAAAATAAACACCCAATTCAAATTCCAGATTAAATTTGTTACCTGTGACTTTTAATGATGTGAATTGTCCACCTCAAATAAATGATACATTCATACTTACTTGTGGGTTCAATTGTTCTTAGACCTAGAAGAACTAGTTTATAGGCATGGTAGTGTGAACTGACTGGGAAGCAAAGATTTAACCTTGTAAGTTGTTTTTCAAGGTTAAAAAGGCTTCAGTTGTTGCAATAACAAATAAAACCACTATTCTGTGGTTTTAATGGCAAAAATTACATCCAGCAGTGTCTGTTCCTCTGAGCCAGTACCCAAGAGATCTCAATCCATTTTAGAGTGAAAGGGAGCAGGATCCAAGAATTTGTGAGTCTAGTTGCTACTAATTATTAACAGCTTTCTTAAAGCATTTTCATTTAGCATCTCTTTATTATTAGAAGGAAGACCTTAAATTGGAGTAACTTGTACCAGCTCAAGGTTTTTTAAATGTCTCCAAAATGCAACAGGTGCTTTTGTTCTCTCGTAGAGTTACTTGTCAGCCAGGTTGAGAGGTTTTGAAAATCAGTTCATGTGGCAGAAGTGGCACACAAGAGTCCAATATAAGACCAATTTATGCTTGAATTGCTATATGGTTTTATTGTTGAGGCAGTGCCATTCACCCTCCAAACACATCTGTGCAGAGAAGCATCTCTGTTTATTGTATCAGCAAAAATACATTCCAGGTACTGCAGTTGGTGGCATCACAGGATTCAGCCTCAAGTTTCTGCAGATCTCAGTTGCACTGGATTTACTTTTCCCAACTAACTTACTCATTTTTGTGTCCATAACCAGTTCTGGGATGCATTTCTTCTTCCCTGTTTTTTTTTTTCCTACCCAGTCTCACCTGGGGAAAAAGATATTAAGCCACCACTGACTTCCATGTCACATTGCTGTAAGGAAAGCATAGGAAAAATAAGCAACATCTTTGCATGCAGTTTCAGAGACTTAGAAGCCTTTATAGCCTCACATTTCTGACAAGCACAGTAAGTGACAATGGTTACCTGAAGATGTCAAGGTCTTTGGGCCCAGACTAGAAACAAAATTGGGCCAGTTGTTTTTACTAGTCAAAGCTAGAGCTGCCTAACAGCAGGGTGGGGGGGATCTTTTGATAAATCTTGCTTTCATTTTGGGATAGCTGACCAAGAGCATTAGGAGGGAGAGGAAAAGCCACTAGCTGTCTGAACAAGACAGGGAAGACAATTCCTCAGACAAAGAGAATTGCTCTAGGAAAGCCATGTATACATCTTCCCCATGTTGCATCCTTTTGAGCTGCTAGAGCTGACTTTTGCAGGGACAGGGAGGAGCTCTCAGCAGAAACAGCACAGACTGATGGAAGTCATAAGAAAGTTTTCATCTTGCTTAAATAATTTTCTAAAGCAGCAGCTTAACACAAGAAAATCTCACATCTCGTGTGGTAAATTCATTGTTTCAGCTCAGTCTAAGCTGGAGACAAGGAAAAGAAAGTTGGGTAGAAGAGCAACTAGACTACAGGAGCAAATCTGGACTACACTATCTTACTGCCTCATGGCTGGAGCTGTGGCTGACCAGTGACAGCATAGGCAACAAGTTCATGTTCTGCAGCAGTTGTGTTCTAGCTGCACCCATACAGAGCTTGGCAGCTGACAATGTGGTTACAGCATAGCCACAAGTAATTCACACAGGCTTTATCTTGATTGTGCAGTCTCAATTTATTTTATCCTGTATCCTTAGGATTGACAGCTAAAGTTTTACACTTAGTAGCATCAAATTCGTAAGTGTAAAGGCTTTAACACTGCCATTTCATTTGAAAATGTGCAAAAACTGATCCAGTGCCTCCTAAAGAATAAACTGTGTTTGCTGTAGACATTTGTATTTTGCAAACCAGTTGATACCAGATTACTCATTTTCATTATAAACAACTTGTACCATGTGGTCCGGACTAGGAACAGGAAATTCACTTCTGTGTTTGCTAAACAGATGTTAGCATGAATTCATACTGAGTTCAGTCTGATTGCAGATTAATCCACAACAGGTCACAGCGGAGTTCATAGTTTCAGCAGGAAAATAAGATTTGGTTTTGACAGTCAGAAGTGCATAGAGCTGTCTTTTAAAGGCTGAGGTTCTTGCATGTTTTTGCATTTCAGTCACAGTCCAAGCAAGATGAAAGTTCTGGCTTTGCCTAGACAGTTGAAGCTCAGTCCCACACGATGATAACACTGCTGGTTGTTAGTTATACGACAGCCATCTTCATCCACAAGTCATTTTTCTCAGGTACTAGAAACAAATAGATTTAAGTTCCTGTTCCCCTCCATTCAAGCCTGTGTTCACCATAGGCTATGTAGTGTCACAGATTTAGCTACTCCATGCAGTCTAAATGAAACTGGCCATTTATTCCTGAGTAGATGAATAGAGGGCCTCAATCTCCTTCTGGAAGTATTTCACAAGGTCTCCTCGCTTTGCCTTCAGTGTTGGTGTCAAGAGACCATTTTCTACAGAGAACAGCTCTGTGTGGAGGTACAGGTCTTTAACCTATTAAAAGAAAACAATTTAGTGCATGATGCATAATTAGAAGACAACAGTTCTTCCCAGCTTCCTTTGGCAAGAATTCAGTCCCAGTAGATCCAGTAATTAAACTTTTTTTGGCTGACCACATCAAGAGGGTGAATTCCACAACAGCCCCTAAAGGCTATTTTGGACCTCCACTTGATCTCTTGGCAATTGTTACTGTTGCCCTTCACAGCCCCTGGTCTCTTGGTGCAGAGACAGTCAGGCAATGTTTCACTGGCTGCTTCAATCGGGTGTCTGGGGCAGCTGCCTCAGGGCCCCTCCTGGCACAGCAGAAGCAGGAATGAAGACTTCCCAGCCACTGTGCTAGCAATACAGGTGCTAGTGACAAACGGGATTTGAAAGCACTCACTTGTTCAAAGGATTTTAGGCCAGCCTCTCTCCCCAGTCTGATCATGTCATCTAAAATAGCTTTCTTCACTGCCTAGAAGAAACACAGCAGAAGCAGAGTGGGTAAAGCTGTCATTCTGTAATTGCAGCTCAAAACCATAACCATTTGCCCAGTCAGGGAGAACTGAGGATGGCAAGAATACAGATTTCAGCATTCAAGATTTCTCATATTAAGGCCACCACAAAGTCATGTCTATCTTCTCACTGGTAAAGAAGCAGCGATAGCCCTTGAGACAAAAAACAGCTATACTGAGTTCCAGTTTTTGCTGTAAGGCTGCTTGCATGACTCACCCAGCATTAAACCAGTTCAAATTACTGAAAAGAGGTGGATGGAACAAAGAGAAATGTAGGAGTGAACTTGGAATTAAATATTGTCTCTAACCCACTAAACACAAAGCCACTCACAGGGTTTTTGCAGAGCTCTTCAAAGGAACCTTTTACTCCCATTTTTGCTGCAAATTCTGGAAGTATCTCAGCATCAGGAACCACTATACCTATTAGAAAAGACTGAAAACAAGTGGAAATAGTCAGGCTGAGACTAAGATAAGGCATACTAAATGTCTTCTTGAGCTTGCTTGTGGGCAGTGTTTCTATGACAAGTCACATGTACATCTCCATGCATTATCAGAGTTTCAAAGGTAGCTATGAGGATTTCCAAGTCACTGAGAGTTGTGACAGCAGTAATTGAAGTACTGACACAATTTGATATGTGTGCTGAATGATCCAGCAATTACTTTTGGCTAGTTTACAGATTTGAAGACTGGCCTCTGCTAGCATAGGTAACACCTCAGTGGCAAAGGAATGGGGAAATGCTTCTGTTGTGCAGAAAGGCTGATAAAATTTGGGTTATTCAGCCTGGAGAAGGTTCCAGGAAGACTTTTCTGTGGCCTTTCAAAACTGAAAAGGTGCTTGGAAGAAAGATAGGGACAAATTTTTAGTCGAGCTTGTGGCAATAAGATAAGAGGTAATGGTTTTAAACTATAAGATAGTAAATTTATGTTAAATACTGGGAATTTTTTGAAAGCGTGAGGGTGGTGAAAGAATGGCAGAGGTTGCCCAGAGAGGTGGGAAATGCCCCATCCCTAGAAATATTCAGTGTCAGGCTGAATGGGGTTCTGAACAACCTAATCCAGTTGAAGATGTCCCTGCTTATTGCAGGGGCTACTATTCTGTGAATTCAAACTGCACAGAGCTGACCTGACATACTAATCCCACACAAGCACGTAATTAGCCTTTACCCAGCTTGCAACAATGCCAGTTATCACTTGGGAAGTCTGTAGGTCTGAGAACATCTTCCTATAAACACAGCTCTCTTAGGAACAGATTTTGTTCAAAGACTCTTGTACGTTTGTGCCCTGATCATCCAGAACTTGTTGTGGGAGAAAGTCTTCCAGGATACTCATTCCTAACATTACTTACCCTCAGACTTTCCCCATGTACAAAGACCTGGGCTACAGGAGCACTTCCAATATAGACATTTTCTATCTTCTCTGGAGCAATGTATTCTCCTTGTGCAAGTTTAAATATATTCTTCTTTCTGTCAATGATCTTCAGTGTTCCATTCTAGAAGTTAAAAGTGGAGGTCAGTAGTTTGAGTCACTGTCTTGCTTATATGAGAGAAGATAAACAGGCGTTGTTTTGTTTTATGAAAGACACACCTGGAACTAGTCTAGCAACCATATACTGGTCTTTGGTTTCTACAGACAGAAGGGTTTGTCTAATTTCTCCAGTTACTTCAGGACATGATTAGGCAGCTCTTTTATTCTCCTCTGACAGAAACCAAGACACCATGTTATATCAGTTCTACACTGAAGAATAGTCTTAACTATGGGCCTAGCAGGTGTTATTTGATATCTTGTAACCTAATTGGTATTTGGAGCTTTGCCTGGAGTTACCTAGTGAATTTACTGCGTAGAGATTTTTATCCTAGAATTCCACCTTCAGAGATTACTGTGAAGTTACAGGAGTTCACATGCAAGAGATGATTTGTATTAAGCAGCTACTCACAGGCAACCATTTCCCTATGTCTCCAGTGTGGAGCCAGCCATCTTTATCAATTGCTTCTGCTGTCTTCTCAGGGTCTTTCAGATAACCCTTGAACACATTTGGTCCTTTAATGCAGATCTATAGCAAGTAGACAACACTGTTAGTCACCAAGTCTTATGTTTCAGTATTTTCCCGACATGCACAGGAGATGGTACCTACCTCGCCTTCATTGTTAGAAGAGAAGTAGCTCATTTCTTCCACATCATCTAGTTTTATGATATTACAAGCCAGAGGGGCTCCAACATGGCCTAAGAGAAAAAAAAAAAAAAAGACAAAACAAAAAACCAATTAAAAAAAGACTGTAGTGATAGTAGATACTTACTGGGTTTGTTCACTGCTTTAACAAGAATCAGTATTGTTTAAAGGAGTCTGGCATCAAATGTTCAAGCAAGTTGTTGCAATGCCATTTTCAGATAGTTAATATAGGACAAATATCAGGTAAGTATCGATGCTTAGAGCATTATTGGTGTAATCAACTACACCAGCCACGAACCACTAATGCCTCCTCAGGAGCCCCTCTCATAGATCCTGGTGTTCATTTGCATTTCATCCTCATTATGCTCTGCCGTTACTGTGTTGACAAAGATGGTGACTTGAGTCTGAACTTACAATCTAGTGCTGCTAAGATAAAAGTTAAATCTTCAAGATCCTTCAGGAAAATAGTCAAGTATCATGTCTAATATTTTGAGTAAAACATGCCATTTAGGAGACTAGTTTCTTAAGTTTCTTAAGGCCATTTAAGAAGTCCCTGTCCAGTTTGCTCAGCTCTCCCTATTCCTTTCGTATATTCTGGGACAAAGCCTAAACTGACCTATGACACTTTATACTGGGGTTCCTCATCTAGTTGAGTCAAGAATTTTAGTACCTATTAAGCAGACAGGTGACTGTTGCTACCAAGAATCACTTTGAGTACCCATGATTTAATTTTCATTAAACTAAAAGCATTAGAGCACCTAGGTTTGAGTGCCCTTTTAAGTGGACATCTCTGGGAGACTTATCAAGTCTCAGCTCCCATACCTGTTGTCCAGTCTCCAGGCATTGAGAAAGTGGATCCAGCTGAGCATTCAGTCTGGCCATAACCTTCAAAGATCTGTGCAAGAAAGGATGAGTATTCCTTGAACATCAAGTCTTTGGTGTGAAAGGCCTGTTTCAACTGTGCCCATGCTCAAGCCTTCTTAGGAAGGAAGCCAAAACAACCTTTGCCTTTAGGATATCTTGATCTTATTGGTGTAACCAGATGTTAAAGTTCACCTGTCCAAACTTTACTTTGGTCACCTCATTTTCTGTTCTCAAATGTGCTACACAGGGAGCTCATTGATTGTCAGAATAAGCCACAGAACTCAGCGGCTTTGAGTGCTGCATGTTCCTATTTCTGCTGCTGTCTTCTCAGAGCCTACAGCATAGATTTTTGGTGGTGTAGTTTGAAGTGGGCCCTGCAGAAATTTTTTTCCTGTTATGGTTAACTCACATGAAGCATTCTGTAAATGGCCAAGACTGACAGCATTTTCCCCAGGAAAAAGCTGAGCTGGACCCCAGCTGTATCACTGGTCACTCATTTGTGCATAGTCAAACAGGGCTTACTTTAAAAGAAAACTCAGCTTACCTGACAGCCTAATGCTGCTCTAAGAAAGGTCAGGACAGAGGGAGATATAGGGGCTGCACCTGTCACCATGATACGCACTCTTCCACCCATGTTTTCCTACAAGAGAAAAAGAAGCCATCAGATCCTCCAATATTACATTCCGTAGCTCCCTCACACTTGGAATAAATAACTTACCTGAACTTTTTTGAAGACAACCTTGTCCCAAATGCTGTCATTTCGAATGATGCCCTGTTTTATTTCAGCCATCTTCATAAACACAGCAAATTTTAACAGGAATTGCTTTACTGGGGTGTTTGCACCACTCTGGATCTACAAGGAAAAGCACCAGTGACTCTTGGGTTTGACTCACATCTGTACATCTCATTCTTGCCTTGTTAAAAGGCACCAAATCTTACTTCAATGTTCTAGAGTCTGTCTTCACCACTGCGGTGTCTAGAAGGTGACCCAAAAGACAGTACTAATTCCTGTTACTGCTGAAACACTACAGCCATAGCTTTGAGGAACAGGGATCCTGTTAGCCTTGCATTTGATTCATTTGCATTACAAAAGTACACAAAGCTTTTTGTCTCTTAACAGCAACAAACTTAGCCCAGTCATTACTGGAAACACTGTCCTTACAGTCCTAGACCTCTTTCCATCTCCTCAGAAAGGATTAGAAAAAATTCTTCCTGCTAAGGAGTAATTAACTAGTGGTGATGTTATGACATATTCAATATTATTTTGTATTTGTATGCTTGCTTGGATAGCTAAAATTGTTCACGTACCTTGTCATATATTCTATTGAGCAGTCTTGGTACAACTGGAAATAGCGTTGGCTTCAAGGTTTTCATGTCATCTGTTAGCAGCCTGATATCTCCTTGGAAGAAGCCTACTTTTGCTCCACAGCTGTACATGATGGTCTAAAAATTGACCAGACTAACCTTAGTCAAGAATAATTCTTAGCTTCACTAGCCCTAATTATAAGTCTATGAAAATATATAGCATAATTTCCAATGTCCAGTTATTACGTGAGTAGGTTTTGAGGACATACAGATTCCTAATATGTCTTTTACTATAATTTGATTTATAAAAGCTCAGCTGTATCTATCTATCTATCTATCTATCTATATATATATATATGTACATACCTGTACAACTCTCTCAAACATGTGAGCCAAAGGAAGATAGGAAATGGCAACATCTGAACTTGAACACTCAATTGTGTTCTAGAGGGAAAAGAAGTAGATTAGCATTTTCTGTGCCTGCTTGAGTTACTTTTAAGTAGAAAGTAAATCAAATTTGGATCAATTTGAGTACTTTGAGACAGACACTTCCAGTGAATGAAGCAACTCAGGCTCAGGCTCATCCATCACCTCCTCAAGATTTGCAGCTGTCACTCAACCATACTAAATCAAAGTCAGTTTTATGTTTTGGCAAGACTTGACTAGATGGTTTTATATTCTTGATATTTAGGACTGACTCATTCTAGAATAACTTCTATGTAGAAGTCCTTGTTCAATTCAAACCAAGTTTCTTGCAGTAGTATTGTCTCACTGAAAAGGACACTTAGGAAAGCATCAATTTCTGGGAGTGAATGGTTTACAGAAAATGCCCACATTAAAGCTGGTTTCATGACTGAGGGACATCTCCTGCAGACCAGCTTACCTCTGTGCATCTAAGGATGGCAGCAGCATTTGAAACAATATTCTGATGTGTCAGCATGGCTCCTTTAGGGTTACCTTTGGAGAGATCAAACAAGGTGAACTGTGGCTCTGATTGCTTCTGCTGGCAGTTTCCCATGTCTTGTTTGGCTCAGTTTGAGCTATCTCAGTACTAGGCTCAGTCCCAGCAGTTGTAAGAGATCACAAATATGCCCCATCTGGAGTGCTTTCAGTTATGGATATTACATAAAGGAGATAGCTACTGAAACAGCAGAGCAATTGGGAGTAGCATAGAGAATGCTGAAACAAGATTTTTGTTTTAGCCCCTGTGGATCAAAATACACAGTTGAACAACCAATCTCTTGATCATTAAGGCTGCATTTTCCATAGGGTAAGACAACATGAATTTGGCTTTTCTTGCCCCCAGTTCTAAGAAGCTTTATTGTAGTGCACTTGTAGTGACAGTATCCCAAGTAAAACTACAAGAGCAGTTTGGCATTGCTCTAATTTACTGGTTTACTTCCATATTCTTGGGAGTTTTTTACTTTTAGGCAGGGAAGCTGCATGGGGAGGCTCTTTCAGTGGGGAAGCATCACTACAAATTCTTACCTGTGGTTCCACTTGTAAAACACACAACAGAAAGGTCTTCAGGCTTAGGAGGCTAGAGAGAAAAAGCCACATAAAGTCAGTGTGAGGATTATGATGGTTATCTGACAGTACTTAAAATTCCTAAATGTGATGAATCAGGAATTCTGGTTCACAAAATAATCTGCCAGCCTTCTCTACTAGCAGCATAGCAAGAGGTCTTTCCAGAGACTAGTTTTACAAGTCTATAGCTGTTTCACAGAGATACTTACAACTGGTTCTCTGATGTTGTTTCTTCCCAGCTCCTGTGTTAGAGAAAAAACACAGCTTAACAGATGTGCACAATAGGTGAATAGATAATTGCATTTCAAATGCAACACCTGTTTTACTACTTTGCCTCTTGATAGTCTTGTCTCATTCAAGCAGAAACCTCTTCCTGAATCCAATACACATAACTCTGAAAAACTGTCTGCTCCAAGTGTGGAGAGGAGACATTTGAATGTGTGGAAAGTGATCAGAACTACTTAAGGAATTTGGAAGTCCTGAATGGAGAGGTTTCCTTTTATTTGACATAGGCCACATCTCTTTACACATATTCAAGCTTAAACCTAGTATTGGGATGTCTAAGCAGCCAGTAATTTGCATTTACAGTTCCAATTAGACTCAACTGCCAGCTTAGGAGCCTGATAAATCCTGTTACAACAGTATCAAATTAAGCTAAGCAAGTCTTGGCTGTTCACAACACATGGGCACAGCTTTAATCAAGGGTTTGAACTCTGACACTCTGTTTAGCTGAAGATATCAAGTTTCAAAATGACTGCTCATCAAGATGTCAGGTACAGGCATGGCAACTGGGTAATGGTTACATTAAAGTGTCATTGCTGTCGCAGAAGATCAAGATGTTTAGCTGGCAAAGTATTACAGAAGCCTTTAGCCACCTACCTCAACTTCCTGTAGTGACAGAATTTCAATCCCCACTTTAGCTCCTCTGTCCTTGAGCTCTTTATCAAAGAGATCCATGAGAACAATAATCTTCAGACATGGGGTCTTTTTTTCCTCACAGTTCTTAAGCAAGACCTCTGCCTTTGCAGGCGTGTCACAGATCACCACGCCTATGTCAGCTACAGAAAAGAAATTATCAGAGGTTTATTTAGAAGACACAAAGCCAGTGACAGCTCAGCAGCACACTTAGAACATAACATTGGTTTGGTGCCATTTGCATTTGTTCATATGGATTCAGTGGCTGGCTTACAGTGCTGAGAATGTTCTTCCTACCATACTCAACTGATTGGGCAAACCTGACATTCTGGCAAGATGAAGTGAGGGCAAATGCTGAGGAGCTGAAGAGAAATATCTTCGCTCACAGTAAAGATGGGCATTTAAACTTTTGGTAATGCCATGATACTGTTTAGGTTTAGCCATCTTCCTGAAATCTAAAGAAATTAAGGCCCAATTGAAAGAGGTAGCTAAAGTTCTTGGGTCAATACTTTAGCTTCCCTGCAGATGCAGTTATAAAAGCCTTTTCCTTTAAATCAGCAGAGGAGCTGGATTTGCCTGAGCCTGCCAGTTCCCAGTTAGACTGATAAATCACAGCTGTGTAATCCCAAGACAAGACCTGTTTCCAAGGTTTACCACCATAACTGTTGAAGTGATTTTGCTTGGCAAATTATGTTTATGGGATGGATCCCAGACCGCTGTAACAACGGTGGATATTTATTTCCCTCATAACTCTCCTAAGACTGGGGGAAGAAATAAATCTGAAGATTTATTTAACTTCCTTGCCAGTTTCTTCCGTGATGGCCTGCTAGATGTTGTAGAACATGCAATAACCAGTAAACTGATTTAGGCATATCTTTACCCTTCCCTCCTCCACTCTTTTCATCCTACAACTTTAAATCAGACATGCACATCTAGTCTTAATTTACATGCAAGTCTGTCTGCATTGTCTAATTGTTTGGCAGTGTGGGAGTTCAAGATTGCAAAATCTCAAATAACGAATAGTTGAGCACTCTGACTGCAGAATGGTCCATAAGATCTAGCAGATCCTTCAGTGGTCTTGCAATCAAGACACTAGAAGACATATGAAGCCCACTGGATTCTTCCAGGCTGAAGAATGAACCATATGCACTGCAAAACAGCTTCACTAAAAAATTGTCTATAAGAGCAGTAGGTTAAAGCTACCCTGATTTTTGCAAATTCCCTTGAACTTAGCCCTCCCAAAACAAAGTTTACTAGAAAAATCTTTATGAAAGAGTGGAAGTCAACATTTACCTTTGTTAACAATATATACAATGGCCTCTGGTCCCAGAGTGTCATAGAGCGGAACAGCAACCATTGAATAGGTGTAGCAGGCATACTCTGAAATGATCCACTGAAGAGAGAAAACAGCACAGCTAAGGAAAATGAGAAGCCCTCAGTACAGGATTGCCTACAGACTTCATACAGCTTGACTAGCCCATGCACATGGCAGTGGGGGGCTATGGAAGGAGCATGTCTGTGAGAATGAGAGTTGTGAGAGGTCATTGTATGCTTGGAATAATATGTGCTCAGTCAATAAAAAGGGAATTGGGAAGGAAAAAGTTGAGATTGTTCCTTATGTGGCCTGAAGTTATTTAAATACAGACTCTCCTCTCACCCCAAGGTGTTTGATTAGTGTAGGAAAGAATACACAATTGTTGCTTACCTCTGGCCTATTCTGAGCAAAAATGCCAATAAACTGGTTTGATGATGGTTGGCATCCTTTTTGCAGAAGCCCTGATCCCAGGTATTTAGTTCTGTCCGAAACCTGCAAGATAGTTATTCCCCCACTTTAGTGTTACAAGGCAGTATCCCAAATTAATTCATCTGTCGTTTACATTACTCACCTGTTTATATGTCAGCCACTGATAAGGTTGCTTGGGTTTCCTGTAACCCAGACAGTCATCATTTCCTAATGAAAGAGTTCAGAAAAGCATTTCAAAGCTCAGTTGTGAAGCTGCATAACACTACAATAGAAACACTTAAAGTGGGAAATGTTTTCTGTCAGACTTTCAGGTAATTGCATGGAGAGCAGGTCAGTGTCCATAGTTAAGCACTTTGCCCAAACCAAGATTTTAAGACTGTTAGCTTTATCCTTACAAGCAATACTTCTAATATCTGGCGATATTTTTTCCATTGCACAACCCCTGTGAGGTTGAAATTGCTTGCATGCTTAGGCCTTGTGAAGTGATGTGCACAAATTCATATCTGTTGTAAACAGGCAGTAATTTCACAGGAAAACTCACATCATAAGACAAAGGAGAGGTGTTTCCCCCCCCGAAGTTCCTCTGATGCTTTGTATCTGCTGACTCTTGACTGAACTCTACCATCTTCAGCTTCTGATGTTTGTTCCTGCCCAGTATGCCAAATAAGACTAATGCTAAATTGGGACAGGGAGAAATACGGTCACTTGTCTCTCCACCCCACAGAAGAGCTTTTGCTAACCTGCATTATTACCACAGCCAAGATGCAAGGATGTTGGAAAAAAAATTAGTTTACTTGTGATAGAAAAGTGCTAACTACCAGATGCAGAGCTTACCAGAAATATTCACTCCTCTCTGGAAAACTTCATACAGGGTTTTAGCATCTTCAAAGTAATAAGAAACCAGGTTATTATCTGTCAAGACTGCACCTCTTCTGGCTCCTCCCTAGGAACAGAGCATGGTTATGAAATAGTGCAGAACAGAAGAAATGTAATTTGTTCCTCAGCCATTCTCTCAGCAATCCCCTTTAAAGCATTTCAATAGCATTGCATTGTTAGGGAAGTCTTTCCCATTCCTGATTTTGATCGACTCAGTCACATGCAGAGGAATTTTCTAGATGGCCCACAGTAACGTTCAGTTACAGATTATTGAGAGGCCTTAACTGAGTGCTACCACTTGCCTTATTACATGAAGTCTAGCACCAGTTTCAAAGCTGATGCAGTGAAAATACAGGAAAAGGTGACAGCCAAAGCCATCTGGTGAAAAGCACACCTGACCCTGCTTGGAGTGAGCTGCTGTTTCACATCTTAGCACCTCAACACTTCCCTTTTCCCCACCACGCTCTTGAGTTGTACACCTGGGAGAGAAGGCTGTGCACATCGGACAGGAGAGTTTCCACTGACACCCAAGGTCAGAATGGATCAGTATTCAGATTAAGCTCCAAAACAGACCATGCCCACAAGCAGAGAAAGCATTACCTCAATTCCTATTGACTGCTTGTTCAAGTCAACAGGAGGTAAAAGGGGTTTTGGCCTGCTTATCACCCACAGGAAGATGACAGCTCCAAAAGCGATGAGACTGATCAGTGCTGGTGTTGGGAGCGGTGAGAACAATACTTGAAGTATCCAGATCATTGTGCTGGATCAGTGGAGCCAGAGTTGAACCTGAAACAAACAGGAGATTTAATAGACTTGAGGTAGAAGCTTTAATTACCTATGAGCCATGGTTACTTAAGTAGCTTGTTAAACAATACTGCAAATCATTTCAGCAGTTTGCCCCTGGAGAGTCCTGGTACAATATTGAAGCACACTTATGTAATGTTTTAAGCCTCTTAAGAGATCTTAAGTCACCTGTCCCCATAAATCTTATTCTATGCTACATCCACCTCCTCAAAAAGCTGAAGCCTAATGAAGTCAAACAAGGAACAGATTATTTCCATCCTTAAGTAAACAAATCCACCTGGAGAAAAACAGTATATAATTTCTGAAATCTATCTCCCCAGGTATAACCAAAAAATGCCTATGATTCAATGATGTGAATTATGGAAGTAAGAAAACTCCTCAATATTTTAAGTGTTCAGTAGGAAATGGTTTTGCTGAAATAGGAAGGGTATTATAATTGATAAATTACATGTGTGATACACCTACATATATGTCTGCAGGACAAACAGTATATTCATTTCCAGGTGTTTTTATTGGTCATGATAGACAAATATTTCAGAGAGTGAGAGTGTGGTCAGCCAAAAAATCTAGCACAAATCAAAACTATGAAAGTTACTTTCCACTAGGAAGTGGTGACCTGGAAGTCAGCGTGTACAATGGAAGTCTAGCTGGGAAATACAGAAACAATTCTGCTGCTTGCATTCCCCAGGGTATCTTCTGTCAAGGGCAGGGAAGAAAAATCTGAGAATGAAGACTTTCATATAGAGAGACCTGAGCTTTCTTCCTTAAAAACAAGTACTTTTATTTCCAAAATATTTTTTAAGATTGAATTGCCAAGAGAAAGGACTGCTTTTTGTCTGAATCAACTCATACCTTAGCAACTTGTATTTGCTAGTGTCTAAAAATCTATGCAGGACACAGCGCCTCACACTTTGCAAGATAAATAACAACACTTTCAAAGTTCTTCGTACAGAATCAAAGGAACTCCATCAGTAGATAATATGTCAGCTATCAACTAAGTCCCTGTACAAGAAGAATACCCAGAGTCCAGACGCAATGAATTCCAGTTATACTTTAGATATAATTCCAATGAAGTTGAAGGTATTTTACAAACTGATAGGAAGCTCAGACGGGACCAGAATCCAGAATTTGAGTCTCTGAGCCCAGACTGAGCATTTAGATTACCTATATCTGTTTTACAGTTTTGTAGTTTCCAGTTGCAGTGTTAATCAGCAATCCTGATGTGTTCTCTGGAAAAAAAGTCATGCTTTGCCTGCTCAGTATCTGGGTAAGAAAAGGTACCTCAGAGGCTTTTCATCAAGTCCAAGATGCCAGATGCACATCACCTACATATCTGAAAAATACTAACTCCCTAGTCCTGTTTTCTACTCTAAACCTTAGTTGCCACATGCCCTTCAAATTCCTGACCTTGGTTTCATGTACTGAGAGTCCAAAAAGATTGTGCTACAGACAGAAAGGCAGCAACTGCCCTTGGGGCTCTCTACTGATGGGCAATTCCAGTCAGTGGGCATATTAAATCTATGGGAGCACAAACCTGTTTGTAGTACTGCATATCACCAATCTTCCCACCCTTCCTTTGGGCCTTTACCAATTGAGCCTGGATTGAAAAAAAAAAAAAAAGAAAAAAAGCAGAACCTAAATTCAGGTCTGCTGATCACATTTACATTCAGTACAAAGCTACTTAGCAGTTTAGGTTTAGCACTGCTTGGGTTTGGAAGACTGAAGATTATTAATAAAGTGAATTTGGTGATCAGCTGCTCTTGACACTATATATATCTAGCCCATTAATGGAGCAGTCAGCAAGCAGCATTCTGAAATGATTAAACTGCATCTGGTTTGTTGTTTATACTTCCTGTTTCATGAACATGAGCAAGACACTTTTTTATAGCATGAGTACTGAGGCAGCTAGGTAGAGGCATCTCCATTCTCCATCATGAAAGGCTGGAGATACAAACTTCATTCCTTTAGCTCAGAGCCCACTACTAAATCCAAGTGACAGAGCAAATCACATTTGCACCATTTGTATGTTGGAAGCTTTCTAGACTGACACATCTATTCTCACATCTTTTTAGAAGGATGCCAGAATACTCAAGTTAAAACTCCCGTCAATAATGATTATTAGCAATCAGTTTAGGCACTTTTCCAGTCTTCTCCCATGCCCTGGTGGCAAAAAGGGGTTTTCACTCAGTGCATTTCACATGACTCTTTCCTGGTCATGAACTTTTTCAATCAGCAATGAGAGAATAGAACAATGTGGAGGTAACCAGAGAGACCACATGCCTGTAGACTGCACCAGTTTTATTGGCTGAAGTGTGCTGTCATCTGCTTATTTTAATAGTTAAAAATCATCATATTTTAAGATGATTTCCCAGAAACAATGAATGATTGGTTGTTTTTAGAGTATCATGCTAGAGGTAAGAAACAACAGTATTTTATTTATGGCACAAAGTCCTCTTTTTAAACTTATTTATATGGCTTACCATAAACACTGTCTGACTAGGTCAGACAGATCAGAGCAGTTGTCACAAAGAGCTACTGTCTGTTACATGGACTTGTTTGACAGAAAATTTACTGAAGACACTTGTCTGACCTTTTTGTGATAAGGATCAGAGAACCCAGTAACCCCAAATGCTCCATGCAGCAGTAGACAAGTCACCGAAAATTTTTCCATCAGGGTATTTTCCTGTTTTCACTGACTCCCATGCAAAGTAGTTTGTATCAAGACATCTAGGAGGACTGAACACCAAGCCCTGAAGAATATGATTTTTTTGCTTGAAGCAAAGAACTCAAAGTCCAGAGAGAACACCTAATCAAGAAGTGATCATGAAACGCAGCAAAACTTTTGTCTTCAGGTTCTGAATTGATTCCACAAGTCTCTTGCATAAAAAGAAAGAAAGACCAGGCAGTAGTCTAATCCCATTGTAGCCTACCCAGCATCCCTGTAACTAGTCAAGGAGGATTTTCAGTTATATTTGAATGACTTTTTAATTGAAAGAAAGACCTATTGAAAAATTCTATAAAGTCTGGGAAGTATTATATGCTCATTAGCTTCTAGGGTTTGGTGGGTGTTTTTAGTAACTGTCTTCATTAGCCCACTTACAGCCCTGACTGAGACTACATGTGCTGGACTTTGCATATACACCCTTTAAAGATAGAAACATTAGTGTTGTATAAACAAAACCCCACAGATTCACAAAAACACAGATCTAGATAATACGAAACAATATGTGGCTTTTTTTCATATCTGAAAAACTATTTTCAATTCCCTTAATTAATAGAATAGTGACAGTGTTTTCTTTTACTTTCCAAGTGTTTCCACAAATGGGCTTTAGTCTCTTCTGTCAAAGCACATAGGGTGTGTTATTCAAGCTGTGGCAAGAGATTGTCAGCAAATTTGTCTCAGTTCACAGAATTAAGCCAGTTGTTTCCTATGCTTAGAGATTTTACTATTTGTCAATCCAAGTAGCTACTAATTTATCACTTCTGGTATAATTCAAATGCCACTTAATCCTGCTGCCTTCGAAGCAGAAAAGCCAGAGAGAGTAGAGGAATTTGTACTTGATAGACCTTCCTGTCCATGCTAAGAGAACAGTTGCAGCCTAGATCTGTTCCATGGAACAGCTACAACCAGAGTTTAACACACAAATCCAAGTGCCCCCGCATACATAATACCTGATCTAAATCAACTTAGTGAAAACTCAGTGCAGAACAAGAAAAATCAGAGCATTTTGGACAGACACCAGCTTCTACTGCAGGGTAAGTGGTCCCTTAAAAAGCTGCCTTTTTAAACATCAAGGGGTCAGAGGTGGTGTCTGAAACCCCTGAGTTCTGACAGCTCAACTCCCAGGGATACAAACTGCACAGGGTGTCTCAAACCGCCTGTTAAGCCTCTTGTGCAATAAGATGCTGGACAGTTGAAAGTGTACTTAGGTTGTCTGCCCTGATCAATGGTCAGGGATAAGATGCACTAAACTCCAGAGTCAAAGGCTTAGTTTTTATCAGAAGAGATTACAGTGATACCATTTACAGCTTTGAGTTCAGGAGTACTCATTCTCATTTCTACTGTACCTCCCCCTTTACAGTTATTCCATCATTACCTAGAAGGAATTAAAGTTATTCTCTATGCTCTCCATGTGAGGAGATTCTCCACTGGAAAATGGCTGATCTTTGTACTTTTTAATACATAAATACCAAGAAAAATCCAGTGACCACTGCAAGAGTTCATTATGGACAACAAAGCAAGCCCTGATACTTGCACAATTTTGGAAGCAACAGTGTGCAGTTCCTGGGAGAATGTCTTCTGGAGTTATGTATTTTGTATCAAGTTTGCCTAAGCTTTTGATGTGATCATGACATCTTTTTTCTCAGGATTAGCAAGGTTACACTGTCTGTTTACAAGCAGGAAAAGTGAAGTACAGCCACCTACACTATGTAACTAGTCAGTTACTTAACCATCAGTAACTCCCTCTTTCCATTTGCCTATGCAGTGCAGCTCTAGCCTGGTGTCATCCTGCAGATGTGAGCCAGTTCTTACTCCTTGGAAACTTTATATTACTCATTCCTTCTTATTGCAGCTGAAGGCTTGTGTGCCACAGGTTTAGGAACATCTAACTTTGAGCATCCAGAGAGAAGTTAAAGCACAAAAGCTTGGCAGTGACTTCTGAGCAGAGCCATGCAAAAAATGAAGCAAAATGCTCAGTAACCTGCATTAAGCTCAGGATACACTTCAGTGAGGCTTTGCTTTTAGAGTACCTCTTCAGAGAGTCAGAGCCAAACAGTTCAAGCATCCTTTGATCTTAGCTGAGAAACACTTTGCTAGAGGGTGGGAAAGGACGAGGCCTCAGTAACTTGCTTTCAGGAAGTAAAGTGCTGTGGTTTCTAAGCCTCACTGATGAAACCTATTGGATTCAAGCTTTCAGTATATTTAAATAGAAAGGCCATTTCTTAAATAAGGAATTTTACTGTATTGGATATTACTGTCTCTCTGTCAGGAGGGCAATAACTTCATGACACTACTTAGTACTGAGTTATTTTCTTAGATAAATTGAAAAGCCAAGCTTTCGTATAAAGATATCATCTTTATATCAGATTTTCTCCATGAAACTACCTACTCAGAAACATGCTCAACTGACCTTTGAAGTTTTTAAGAATTTAAAATATAGTCAGTATTGCAGGTTCTGTTACTGTTTATCCTACTGGATAATACAGGTTCACTTCTTGCAAAACATTCATGCATCAATACTATATTAATAGGTAGCTTTCCATAGTGATAGGGCATGGTATTAAGAGCAAGGACTAAAACTTGAAAGTTCGCATAGAACTCCTAAAAAAACTCGAATATTATCACTAGGCACCTTGGCCACATGGAGGAAAGGTAGCACTTAAAGTTTCTAGATACTAATGTCCATTACTCCATATTATCACAGCACTTCTATTATGAAGAACAAAGAACAAACACATATCTGAACTTAACTCAGCCCAAGGTCCACATTTAACTGATAGCACACTACCAGAGATTTCCTAGGAGGCTCCTGAAAAATTCGTTATCTTGAACCCTGCATCTAATCACTGCACTTGCACATTGGATTTAGTAAAGCCCATGTGTGTAACAACAAGCAAACTCATGAGCAATAAAACAAATACAGTAGAACTTCATTACTTACACAGAAAATATGGCACAGCACATATAGAGATGAGAACTGGTGGGTAAAGGGACCTACCATTTTGAATATAGGGTAGGAAATAAACATCTTCTTCTTAAGTAAAAGGGAGCCTTAGTAGCACAGTACAAAACCAACACCACTTAGGTGACAATCACGTTAAAACTACAGCCAGTTTCCTCTCCCCAGTTTAAATAAATCAGCAAGCAGAAAAGCACATTGGGAGGGAACTTTAAAGTGGAGGAACTTGCATGGGGGAAACTGGAGTGAATAAAAAACAAAAAATAAAACCCAACAACCCACCCACAAAAGAGAGTCATTGAGCTTTTTTGTTTGTTAATGAAAACAGCTTGAAGTAGATCTAAATGAATTGCAAACAAAAACATTATGAAATTATATTTATAGTTTATTCTTTCTAATCTGTTTGTTATTATCTTCCCTATGTATTAAGCTGTATTCTCAACAGTAGCAATTTTGTCTCTATAGCTGCATATATGTTAAAGTGAGCAGAGCTTTGTAGCCTGTAATACCAACAAAATGTTTTGACTACAGCATTCCTCTTATACTGCTGCAATGGACTTGGTGGTGAGCTGGATTTCTGCTGATGGTTTTATTTTATTTGGTTTAGGTGTTAGGTTTCTTGTTGGTGTAGTTGGGTTTTTTCATTTTTTTTATTTTTCAAAATCTACCTACTTCTTTCTGTTCTGTTCTAGACATACATAGGTGTAATTATTTGTACAAGGTAAGAGTGAATCATGTTCCAAGCTTCAGTTTTGTTTCCTGCTATGTCAGGGATTTTTTTTTATGATTTCACAGCTTCATTTCTTTGTTTAAAAGTTTATGGCTGTTGCAGTTTCCCTTTTTCTCTTCAATGCTTGTCTAATATAACTGGAATTTTGCAGTGGGTTTGGAGGGATGGGAAGACAGCAACTTTACCTATCTCTCTTCTTTATTGCCTTAACCACAGATTTTAGAATTGTTTTGTCCACTTAGGAGTTCCCTATGTGACAGTTTTCCTATGCTGCATGATTTAATCTGCTTAGCTAGACAAAATATAAAGCTGAGATAGAATTAACTCAGAATGTTCCTTGCATCCAAAATACAAACCTGTACTAGACCTTGGCTTTCTAAAACACATAGCCCCTACTAATTGCAATTGTGTTTTTATTGCTGCTGTAAACTTCATACTATTCAGGTAGACCTAATTTATATGCAGTTGTGGCATTATTTAGCCATGTAGGTATCTTTTAGGGAAACTGAGGGTTGATTCACTGATTTTCCTGTAAGCTGAGCATGAAAAAAAATAGCTTTCTCTTCATGAAACTCCTCTGCCTTTGTCTGTGCCTTCCCATACCTGTTCCTGTCATATTTCCGGGAAGCTGAGCTTCAGCTTTAATAGTGCCTGTCAGGGGACATTTGTGCTTATAGAAAGGAGACAGGGCCAGGCTCCCAGCCTAGCCAGTTCCACTATCACCCACTCTATGTGCCTCTCTTAGCAATTTCCCCTTCACATATCTAGCCTCTGGCTGTTATTTTTCCAGGAGCAAGAGAAGAAGCAGTGAGTTTGCCCTGTCATTGGTCAGCTGTTGGGTAGCAGTGCTGTGTATCTCAGGTGCATTGACTTTGCTGCAGGGTGGGAGAACATCCCCACAGCACAGTCCTACCTGGCCTGCCAGGAGCCCAGAATGTGATGCAGAGCTCCATGAGCTGGAAAGGCTACACTCCATTGCCTGGGCTCAGTGGGTGTCAGAGTTCCAACATAAATTGCATTAAAGGATGCACACAGGAAAGTTTCTCCTTAATGATCATTTCTGTTCAGTGCTCATAAATTAGAATACTGCTGACACCCTTACCCTTACATAACAAATGACATGCAAATGTTGAGGCTTTTAATTTTTCATAAATGATCTGCATAAACTCCAGATTTTTGAAAGGCACAGATTTTTTTTGCTAGTAATTTTCTGTCAAAACACAAAGAAGAGTTATGAATCCCAGCCTTTACTTCTCTTTGTGCATGTATATAAAATTTACACCTGCATCCCTCATACCCTTTAGTGACTTAAGGTGAGCAGCAGGTAGCTTATGTATATGGGGAGTTCAAGTTGTTTTCTTTCTGTTGTCACTGTCAAAGAACTTTTGCATAGAGGATGAACCAGGTGAGCTTTTGTAACAAACCTTAAGGTCATGACACAATATTAGCTTTTGTTATCCAAAGATGCCAAAAGAACCTTTCTACATATAGCAAATAGCAAAGGATGTAAACAAATTAAAGGAAAGCACTGGCTCCATATACTATTTTCTCTGTTGTCCCTTCAAAACTTGGATTTAAATTTTGTGAGTCTGTGGGAGGTGTGAGCTTACTTTATTTGGATGATTTTTGAATTCCAGTTTATTCTCTTAATGCTATAAACAGTAATTCTTTATTGTTCTGTTCTACTTTTCAAGGGCCATATCTGGCTTTGTAAAGCAGAATAACTGCATTGAAACACAAATTATCTTCTCAGACTACAAGTGTCTTCCTCAAGAAAGGAGGTATGGATAGGAGATGGGCTTAGGACTTGGAAGAGCAGCATGTTTTTTGACAGTTCTCTTGCTTGCAGCTTGATTTCAGGTTGATCTTTGTCTCCACCATCCTCTCTGTACACAAGCAAGAGCTTGGAGAAGGCTCCATCTCTACAGCTGGAACAAGAAGTTGTGCCAAGGCAATGGCAACAGTCTGGTGCACCATACCCTATGATATGGGCTCTTAAACCCATTTAAACCCATTTGTTTGTTTATTTGCTTTAAACAAAAAGCATTATATCTAGTTTATATGTTCTTAGTTAGGGAGTAAGATGGATTCTATTGTATTAAATGTTGCCAATAAGCTTGTGCATATAAGTGATCTAGCATATTGCAACCTTTTACTGTTTGTGATGCTGTGAAAACAAATATTCTTATATTTTTGGAACCTGGTTTAAACATTAGTCTGAATGGGAGCCTGGCACTGCTACTTTGTGCACTGTATCTTTAAATGGGCATAACTAACAAACTGATAAGAAAATGGTTTCAGCCTGAACTGTAGACAGGTTTCAACTTCCAGCCAGTCTATAGCAACAGGGAATGTTCAGGTGGCTGCTCTCATTCAGGCTGTGATTTCCCTGTATGCCACCCCTGAGCCCGGACTTGTTTCTTTAATAACATGCAGCCATTTATGCAGCTGCTGCCTTTAACAGCACACAAGGTGATAAGAAGGGTGCATTGGACCCAGGTATTGCAGCAAATTGAGGTTATTATTCCACTTGCAATACTTCTCTGCAGGAGCAGGAAGCCCAGTACTCGGGAAACACAGGCTCTGACTAGGAGGGATTTGCTTACCTTCCTTCAGTGCTGGAGGAGGGTGGAGGGGCTGATACAGCTTGCTTCCTTTGCGGCTTTACAACTCCCAGGGGGTGTTCTAGGGTTGGTTCTTCCCCAGCTCCAGTGGTGCTTTCCCAGCTCCCGTGGCAGGACTAAGCCCCGAATCATCAGAGTGTGGCTTTAATAAACAGGTAACACTGCACCCAGGTAACCTTTGAACCTGCCTTGCAACAGGTTCAAAGGTAAAAAAAAAAAAAATAAAAATTTATTCCTGATCAAATATAAAGAGCAATTTTGGCTGGTTAGAAATGTTAAACATACAAGTCTTGCACAACGGCGTTAGAAGAGAGCAGCTCATTGTGAAAACTAACCCCAGCCCCGTGAAAGCTGCAGCCCTGGGTTTTTCATAGGGCTCTCATTTACTCCAGTGCACACAAGACATTGAATTAGTCTTGCTCCACCGAGAAAAGGTGCCTCTTAAATTGCACTTTGAGCAAGAAGACATATTCCAATATTTTTCACCCAATGCTTTGTGTAGAGTCCAGTCCTTGGACACATCCAGCTGCTGAGGCATGGCTTTCCCTTGCAGCTCCAGGGGTCTGTGAAGCAGCCACTCCTTTGGGGTCAGGGCTCTCAGCGCCGCTGGGATGTGTGGGGGGCTGGTTATCTCACCACAGTGCACCTTCCCTTTTGACACTGTGCAAAGGTTAGTGCACTTGCTCAACTGCCTAGTAGGCCAAGCCTGTTTTATGAGAGATTTCTTGTGTTGATTTAAGCAACTGTGGTTTTGTTTTGTTTTTTTTTTTTTTTTGCCTTCCTCTGTCTCTGAAATGGGAATGAGAGGGCTTGTGCTTAATGCTTCTTGAGAAAAATAGTTGTGACATGAGGTATGCAGGCTGGGCTGGCAGGTGGAGCTTCCTGGCTTTGCTTCCAAAATCTGTGGATATGATCTTTGGAAGACATTTTCTGCACATGATCCAAGAGATAGGGCTAAATAGCAAAGTCCTTTCAGCACTCACGTATTAGAGAGCATCCAAAGGAGGGCAATGAAGATGGTGAAGGGCCTTGAGGGGAAGCCGTATGAGGAGCTGCTGAAGGCACATGATTTGTTCAGCCTGGAGAAGAGGAGACTGAGGGGGAAAGCTTCCTTGTGACGGGGAGAGGAGGGTTAGGCAGCTCTTCTGTGGTGACCAGTGACAGGATCCAAGGGAATGGAAGCTGTGTCAGGAGAGGTTTAGGTTGGATACTAGAAAAAGGTTCTTCACCCAGAGGGTGGCTGGGCACTGGAACAGCTCCCCAGGGCAGTGGTCACAGAGTTCAAGAAGTGTTTGGACAATGCTGTCAGGCACATGGTGGGACTTCTGGGAATAGTTCTGTGCAGGGTAAGGAGCTGGACTCGATGATCCTTGTGGATCCCCTCTGTCTCAGAATATTCTGTGATTCTGTGACTGGTCAAGATAATAAACGTTTTGTTGATCTAGGTCTGGTTTGTCTGGTGCTGGAATTTAACTCCTGTATGATATCTGAAGAGTAAACTAATACTAACACTTTTCACTTAAGACCTTAATTATTCTAAATTGGTGTAAGGGAATCTGCCTGTACCAGTGGTTATGAATAAAAGTAGAAGTACCTGTGCCAACACAACATCCTAGACCTTCTGTTTGCAACCTCCTCTTATGTTTTAGAAAATGTCAGTTTAAGGAGGATGAAAGAAAATGAATGGGAGGGTTTTACAAACTTGATGCAAAGAAGTGACACCAATGTTGGTCTCTTGGCTTCTGTCTGTGGTGCATCTTGCATGTGGGAAACAAAGCATTTGATTCAAGGTTTTTACAAGGTATGCAACAGATACTAATATTTAGTAGTTGGGCAGGTCCCCATTCAGCCCAAGTGGATATTGCATCATCATCTCAAAAGAGCTGGAGTGACTGACACCATCTGTGGTTTTGGCTCCTAGATGTGTTTAATAAACCAGTGGGGGTGGGGGAGGAAGGCAGGGAAGCATAGCAGAGTCACTTGAGAAGGGAACAAAGCCAGTTACCTGAGCTAGCTGTACGTGTAACGTTGTAACTGCTTTTCCTTCTCTACCCTTTCTCTCTGGTACACAAAGTACATGGCATTTTACCTCATTTGAACAGCAAATTAACCCAAGTTTTGGTTTTTTGTCACCTTTCACCTATACAGTTTCTTCTTAATGAATTAAAACCATTGATTAATTCACTGATAAAAACTATGAACTGAGCCACTTGGAAGAGTGAGTGTGTCATCCTTGAGTCTGGCAGGGGAGGCTCGTGGTCAGATGTCCTGCTAATAGTGGTTAACCTTTTTTCAGCTTGTTTTGAAAGCAGATGTGAGAAAACATTCACAAGTGCTGGAAGACATTGGGCTATGTTCTATAGTGCAGGATTGTCTCTGTACATCGTCTGTGTTCCTTGTTGTTCGCAAATGAGTGATGCTGTAGTTTGTGATCTCAGTGACCAAGGCACACAAGCAATGACATAAAATAACCTAGATCAGCTGTGCAAACATCACCTGTGTCCCAGTTCTGAAAATAAGGAAGCTGAAGGCAAACCCACAAACACCAGGGGTTATTTTCACAAGATTGGGAGAAAAAATTCAGGTAATGAAAATAATATTTTTTCCCCTCAAGACTTAATTATTAAGAAAATGAATGACAAATGCCATGATGAATTCTCTGTAGGTTAGCAGGGGCTCCATGAATTTTATCAGTCTAGTCATTTTTTGAAATCTGAGCAGATTATGGCTCAATATCTATTCAAACCATTACTTTTTGACAGAAGTGTCTGCATGCATGGGGTTTTCAAGATGGTGAGAATGTGATTGTTCCTTTTCTGTTTTTACAGATGACAGAAAGCTCAACAGTTTCCCTTCTTTGTTTAGATACATTTTCTGTGCTGATGTAAAGTATCCCTGTTCAGATTAACACATCTTTCAAATGTAATCATTTGCCCCTTGTGCAATTCACTTGACTCTTGAATAATGAATAAAGGAACCAAAAGGGAGCAAAATAAATTAAAGAGTGTGTCTTCCAGCCTTGTTCGAGCTCCATTATTGAATGCAGGATTCAGAGATGTATTTTAGATACCTGCCAGTGAACATAGAACTGCAGGATATCCCTGAATGCTGCTTAAGTTATTCTTACTGAGGTTGTGCAACCAGTCTGAGCTGTGAAAGAGTGGAGCTAAAGGTCATTACCACACAAAGCTGGAGTTTAATCACGTCTAGGTACCATATAAGAAACCTTTTTTTTATTGGTCTTGTGAAATCTACTCAAATGCAATAGGCTGTTGAATGATAAATACAAAATAAACCCTAACCCTTCAGCCTAAGTAGTTGCCCTGACATAGTAAAATTTGGTGCCAGGATATTGTAAGTAATTTTTACTGTGCTAAGACATTTGTGTGAAAGACATAGATGTGTTGTTGAACTGTTTTGACAATTAAGGAGGCTCTACATGTATTTGCATTTGATCTGTGGTGTCCAAGAACAACTGCACGCTACTTTTGTTGCAGGATGTGGCTGCTGCATAAAATTGAAGAATCTGAGTGAATTTGCTGCTTCCATGTTACCATTGACAATCTTGCATTCTTCTCTCTTTGTGCAAAGCTGAGTGGTGTATGTGCCTGTAAGTGTCTATGGTTTTAAAACCAGACTAAACAGAACTAGTAGAAGTGTGGGTGTTAAATACATCAAGTATGAACTGGTAGTCTCTACCTTGCAGGGAACAAAAGCATCTGATATCTATCTTGGCCTGCTGACTCTATAGCATAACTCTAAGCATAACAACTGACAGATAGTTCTACTGATTTGACTGGAAACCTTTTAATATGTTATAATTGGCCTATGTGGGGTCAGAATTTGTCCTCAAAAGACTAATTCTTCTGAGCTCTGACACAAAAGAAATATTTGGCATTGATCACTTCTTTTCAATCTGATAAGATGCATAGATGATCAAAAAACTGAAGCTACTGATTCATTTTCTCAGTAGTTTTCAAAGTCCAGTTCTCCTATTCCACTTACACATTTACTTGAACATTCTTGCTGTACTTAGCCTCCCCTACTGCCAGGATAAAATGTGGGCAGCATAAGCAGACATGAAAGTTTATGAACAGAGACTTTGACTCTTGGCCATTCAAAATGGAAGTAGGAAGATGGAGCAAATATTTCCTAGTGACTTTAGACTTTGTATTTTCATACTAATAAAAGGAAAAGGCTGATGTTCAAAGTGAGCAATACCTGACGTGTAATGTAAAGATGAGGAAAGTTTAAAGACCACTTGAATTGCTTCTAAGTGTTATCAGTGCTGTAATTTCATTAGGTGGTTAAATTCTTATTGAAACAACTGAATTCCAAGTTTTGTTTTTAAGATAACAAGCTTTTGATGTTGCAGTGGTAAATACAGTGGTTTTCTAAGATGTCTGTTACAGTCCTCTGTGTGTTGTGTCTTGGACCTGTCATCTGTCCACCTGTGCTTGACAGAAGGGATAAGCCTTGGAGTTTAGCTTTTTTTCTGATATTCTGATGAGACTTGAGATCCATCTTTAATTTAGAAACTCTCTAATGCAGGGTCTCTTTTTTTTTTCTTTCAGGTTGAGATAATATCACTGATGTTGATTACCAATAATTATAAACCAATAGATGTTCAGCCTTTAAAATATGGCAGATCTTATAGATTTTTATAGAAACAGTGCAGAATGCCTGTATTTTCTAAAATCTTTTCCCTTGATCTGTGTTTCATCTCCAAGTCTTGACTGAGTCAGCTTTGGCCCAGTTAAAGACCAGGTTAAATATAAGAAGTTCAAGACATTGTGAGATAAGGTGTCCAATGCTTTCGTGATTTAATTCTCTGGACACATAGATTTAATGAATTGTGCTGTTGGACCAGTACTGGGATGGTCTTTAATTCCCACATATGTATTTCTTTTGGAATCTGTGTAAAAAGACCACTGGAGCTAAATTTTAGAAGGTTTTTGAAATCACTGTCATGCAAGGTCACAAAAAGAACTGCTTTGAACTGAGAATTTGGATTTTAATTAAGCCTCTCTTGTTGAAGTTGCTTATGTAATGATTAAAGAACTTGTATTTTGGTGCCTAAAAATAGGTTCAGAAATGCAGAGACTGTGTTTGAGGTAG